GTTCTGAGCCGTATGGAGAACCAGTAGCGGAAATTTTGAGTAGTTCGGAGAACCGGTAAACACTACCTCTGACTGACCCCACCCCATCTATTCTCTGCCTCCTGAGTACCAGCTGATCGGGAAGGAATGGGGATTTTGCAGTAACCTTCCCCTGCCATGCTCACCAAGCCATGCCCCAAGAACCGGTAGTAAAAAATTTGAATCCCACCACTGGTTCAAAGTTACAATGGCACTGAAAAAAGTGACTTATGACCATTTTTCACACTTATGACTGTTGCAGCATCCCCATGGTCACATGATCAACATTCAGCTGCTTGGCAGCTGGTTCGTATTTATGGCGGTTGCTGCCAGGTGATCCCCTTTTGCGATTTTCCGACAAGCAAAGTCAATGGAGAATCCGGATTAACAACCATGTTGTGGTTAGGAAAAAGAAAAAGAAGCATTGACTTCCGACTATCTCTGCTGCAGTAAAATAAGGCATTAACATCAAACCACAACTTTTGTTTTTTTTATAATAATTAGTCATTTCTATAAGGATCTATCAATCTAATCGAGAAAACCCAAAATCAAAGTTTCATTCTTTTCTACTTCAAGCAGAAAGTTCAAAAGTGGCCTCCAAAAGTACAATTTATTGTTTATTGTCAAAATAGTCAATTTTGCCATTTCTGGCAACGCCATCAGCTTCTGCTACCATTCATCCATGGTAGGAATCAAAGTGTCCTTCCATTTTTGTGCATATAATAATCTTGCTCCAGTCAACATATATCGTGTCAAAGTTCCTTTCCTCAATTCCCCTCCCCCACTGTTTTCCAATTTATTTTCATATTTGGTATCTTATTTTATCTTATAACTCAATAAAAATATTAAATTAAGAAAACATAATACATGTTGACCAACCATGTTGCTACCTTAACAATTGCTCTGATTCACTTAAAAACAGTGGCAAGGAAAGTCGTAAAATGGGGCAAAACTCATTTTACAAACGTTTCACTCTGCAACATAAATTTTGGGCTCCATTGTGGTCATAGCTCAAGGACTACCTGTACTTACACCAGACGTGGTATTCAACCAGTTCGCCTGAACCGGTGGCAGAAAGTTTGCCCAGTTCAGCGAACCGGTAGTGATGGCTGGCTGGCCACACTCCCGAACCAGTCCCCCTGTTGTCGGTTGCTCACCCTGCCTGCTCCGTCACTGCTCGGTGACCGGTGGGCATGAGTGACGTCAAGTTGGCCACGCCCACTCAGTCACATGGCCCCACTTAGCCATGCCCACTGAAACGGTATAAATTTTTTTTGAATCCCACCATTGACTTAAACTATTCCTTCAGATGATTTAATGCTTCCACCAAGCACTATATTGGGCAATGAAATGTCCGCAAGAAAACAGAGAGAGCACCAAGGACTGTTTATATTTCCAATTGTGACCCAGATCTATGCTTTTATATTGCTCTGCTGAGCTATGGGCAAATATACCTATGGCACCCAGCCAAAGTTGCCGATACCTCAGCAGAGAAATTTATGCACAGATCTAGATCACTGTGGGAAATATAAATGGCGGAGTCATTGGTGCTTTCTGCGTTTGGTTGTTTTCTTGCGGACATTTCAGCACCCAAACCAGGTAACACAATCAATGCTAGATGATGCTAAAAAGGAGAATATTTGTAGCTTATGGTTCAAATGAGGGGTCTTTGTTTTTTTCTGAAGTTGGTTGTTTTCTTGTGGACGTTTCATTATCCAAACTAGGTAACATCATCAGTGCTAGACTAACTCGTTTGGGTAATGAAACATCTGAAGAAAACCACCAAACTCGGAGAACACCAACAAGCCCTCATTTCAACCCTGAGCTACAAATGTTCTCCTTTTTAAGTATATGTGGCATCTACTCAAGGTTCTTCACTCAGTGGTGGGATTCCAAATCTTTTCCTACTGGTTCTAGGAGAGAGAGCTTTGCGCACACGTGTCTAATGCACACTTTGCGTCCATGTGCAGCACTCAAAGACTGCCCTCCGTGTCAGCCCTGGTGATTTGAGCTGATTTTTTTAGCTCAGCTGGGGTGCAGCAATCCACTCTGCCGCGTGAATCAGCTGAGGTAAAAAACAAGGGAATATAGGACATGGAACGACGGGGGGCGGGATCAGCCAGAGGTGGTATTTGCCGGTTCTCCGAACTACTCAAATTTTCCGCTACCAGTTCACCTGAACCGATCCGAATCAGCTGAATACTACCTCTGTCTTTACTGTAATGTCATCAGTCTTTTGCATCTGGTGGGAATAAAGGAGACCAGGCAGGAAATACCTCTCTCTCAAATGGTGAGGAGGAGGGATGTGGATAGAAAAGAGTCACCTGAAATTTGAGAGGGATACAGTTCTGTGGCCCTTGAAAAAGGAACCCTTTTAAATGCAGGCCCTATGCTCTTGTATATTTCTTTTACGTGGTGTCAGATCTCATGGCTCAATAAATGAGAAGTAAAAATGGTGATTTGCATATGTAATGTAGCCTTCACTCCAGGATGCCCAATCACAGCTTAACCAGAAATTCTCAATACTTCATCCTTTTTGATAAGACATATCAGACATAAGCGAAATAAGTGGTGGTTTGAAATAAAACCATGACACATACTTTCCCTAAAGTCAGACTTCACCAAAAACAATTATCTTAATCGCAGACAGCAGGATGAATCCCCCCCCCCCGCCCCGGGTCTGTTCTTAATGACCAAATGCAAAACATAAACAGATGTGAGCTACAGCTGAGCAGTTTTGTGCCAAGAATGTTTATTTTCCTTGTGTCACACCTGGAGATTTCAATTTGTTTTATTAATGAAAGGCTGGCATAAAGTTGTTTGGATCCATGTAATCTAAATTGCCAATCTGTATTTTGCACGTGTTGGGAACAGGGAGGCAATAGATTGTGTTTTTCTCTGCCTGGCTTTCCGGATTGGACTCCTGTGGGGGTTCCTGAAAAGAAGGCGAGGCTTCCGTTTTGGTCTCTGGTAATAATACCAGAATATGATTGGCTACAACAGTTGAAACCTTGGAGTATTCCTTTGCATCTGTAGGCAGAGGAGCCTTTTCAGTTTTGACAACACTTTCTGCCTGCTTAGGGAGCACAGCCAACACTCCGTCGCTGGTGACTTTGTGAATCTCTACATAATCCATTGGCTTCGTAGACGTAAAAGGCAACTGCTCTGGAGAAGCTAACCAGAATGCCTCTTGATTACGCTGAGAGTTTAGAGTTAAATTGACTTCATCCTCCAGCTGGCCTGTTTTTATTTTACTGACTGTCTCAATGGGTTCCGGAGGTTGAGAACGATGCTTTCCTTCACTTCTCCCCAAAATGGGTGACCTTTTTACATTGGTGGCTTTGAGTACCCTTTTGCAGATTTCTGTGGCATCATAAGAGGAACACTTTGAAGTGTGAGAGTGCCCTGGCTGGTCTCCAGGCCATGTAGATGACTTTGGGTTCCTACTGGTCAACTGTGGGAGACACCTTTCAGGCTCTAATTCTAATGTTTCCGAGAGTTTTGTTCTATCGGTGTTCTTTTGAACTTCATCAGGATCTGGTACTTCTGCTGCAGGGGGCAGTTTTCTGGCTTCCTTGTATTTCTCTTGCAGTAGAGATGGACTCTCACAGCTTCCTCTTCCTGAATTGGAGTCTCTTTCCTGGTGTGCTGGCCTCAAGTGTTTATTGGGGTGACTCTTTCCCTGGTTTGGCATTAGCTGCTGATCTTCGCTGTCGTCTATCTCCAAAAATTCAATCAGCAGATCATCGTAGTCTGAAGTTGGAGGGAAACCCTGGCAATCAAGAGCACTCAGCAATTCTTCACTTTTCCCTGCCTGGAGAAAGATAAAATGCACCTTGGATTACTATAAAAATGACATATTGCATAAAGATGAGCTGAACACATTTGGACATAAAGCAGATGAAATACAGATCTTAAAGCGGGTTGGATTTTATTAAGCAGGAAAGTGAACGGGATTGTTGAGCTATGATGAGGACTCCACTTCCAAATGTTTATGGAGATAGGATAAAGCTATATTTAATTTGATGTACAATTTTTGCATATAACTGTATCCAGCAGTCGCATCTGTGGAATTTTAAAGAGCCCTGAAGCTATATAGCTTTGCCTCCCTGATACATAAAAAGGCAGCAAACTGACATAGAATATGAATTAAATGCCAACATTGATGAGATATAAGGATCAGAATGAAGAAATTATTTATTTGAAAGAGATGTTCACGACACTTGAGCACGTGTGAAGCATCTCATTTTGACCTGTTAAAGCAGCCACATCTTTTTCCAGAAACATGGGATGTTTCAGAAGTTGCTTCTAACTGTTGGCACAGCATGTGCCTTCATAGATGCTTTGTTTCCCTGGGGAAAATAGCTACCGTATATTTCAGAGTATAAGACGCTCCAGAGTATAAGACACACATTAGTTTTTAGAGAGCAAAACAAGAAAAAAAATTCTGCCTCTGCCTACGATCAGTATTCATCTGGCTAGCATCTTTGCAGCAAACAGCAAATAGCCTGGTCAGCTTCAGCACGTTATCACAATCTGATTCAGCATGAGCAGCTGATTGGTGGTTGGATCAGCCTCCCAGAATACCACCAATCAGTTGTTCCAGGCTGCACGGATCGTCACAACCCATTTACACGTCCCCTCTTTGGCCTCAGTGTGTCGCATTTTCAGACTCCGCACACTCCATTTTAGACCTGTTCCAGGCTGCGGGGATCATCACAGTACATCTCTGCCAATCACCGCCTCCACACGTTGTGTTTTCGGCCTCCACACACTCCGTTTTTGGCCTTTGCGCATTGTATTTTCGCCAGTTCCAGGTAAGTGGTGATTGCTGCCATTGATCCCCGTTGCCTGGAACTAACTGAAAATGCGATGCATGGAGGCCAAAAACATGAAGTGTGGAGACTAAAAACGGATGAAGGGTGAGGGCAGGTTGATGGTCAGGGCTTTGGCAACATACAGTATATAAGATGCACCACAATTTTCACCCACTTTGGGCGAGGGAGGAAGTGCATCTTATACTCTGAAAAGTACGGTAATTTTTCATTTAAAAAGGTGCTTGGAACACACTTCTGCATGTTTCAAGGCACCTCTTTTAAAATATTTGTACAGTCCTATAAAGCACATGTTATACATTTGTCTCTTGAAAATGTATAGTGGTTCAATATTGTGATTACCAAGGAGACAAACTGTTGTACTGTGGCATAGTCTTTACAAATATTGTATTGAAAATGAGATATGGTAGGCAGAATTTAGACTGCAATCCTAACAAAGGACAAGATAAAGCTCCCCATTCCTACTCCATATTCCCAATTCAGAATTCCTTGGCTGACAGGATCCACAGCATGCTCCTTCTGCCAGAGCAAGTGGGCTTGGCCAATCCCACTGGGGTGAGAAGGTTCCTCAGTAGCCTGGTCCCAGAGCATTAAAGGGCTTTAAAAGTAATAAACAACCCCTTGAATTGGACCTGGAAGCAGATCGGCAACCAGTGCAGCTTGCACAACAGAGGTGTTACATGGGCTACTCTAGGATTCCCAAGAACTGTCTGTGCAGCTACATTCTGTGCCAGCTGCAACTTCCCAATACTTTTCAAGGGTAGACCTATGTAGCTTGCATTGCAATAGTCCAAACCAGTGGTGGGTGGCTTCTGGTTCGGCCCGGTTTGGCCGAACCGGTAGTAGCAGTGGCAGGAGGCATGCATCAGTGGTGGGTTCCGGGTCCCGTTGCAACTGGTATGGTTGCAACGCAGCCCGGTGTCCACCACATGAACGCGTGCAGCGTGCGCATGCGTCCTCACCTCTTGCAATGCCTCCACAACCCTCCAGCTGCTCGGTGGAGCGTCGCACATGTGCCATGCGCTCCATGCATGTGCGTGGAAGCGTCGAAGAGCTCAAATACAGGTAAGGAGCTCGGGTGGGCAGGTGGACCCTCCGGAGCACTGTACCGGAAGGGTACCTGGTGCTCCAAGCCAGCATTGGGCGTACCGCCTGCAACCCACCACTGTCATGCATGCTTGTGCGAGCGTGCCCGAACCAGTAGTAAAAAATAGTTGCAAGCGCACCACTGGTCCAAACGCGAGATAATCAGGGCATGAGTGACTTGAGCATAGGGACTCACAATCCAGGAAAGGGCACAAGTGGCACACACCATGAAGTTCTGCAAAGGTTCTCTTAGCAGAGAAGTTATCATAATAATAGCAGAATAATAACAGCTGAAAAGTTATCTAGTTGGATGGCAACATGAACGTTGTGACCAAAGTAAAAGATTTTCACATTCTCCAAACTCTCCTTTAACAGCTCACCTGTAATAATTGAGCATCCAAGCCTTTTATTTTTGGACCTGGAACTGGTGGTAGAAGGCGAGCGAACATCCTGAAATGCAAAAGGAAGATAGAAAAAAATTTATCTTTCCTTCTTATGTTAAAATGACATTTCTGAAGGCGGCTCCTGTAGTGGGAGTTAATTCCTTTTTCCAGTAGAAATGGACCTAAAAATAGCTCTGCTTGTTGGAACATTTTTAGTAGGCCTTTTCACAGGATATAGGTAGCACTTCAATGATTTGGTATTGATAGAGCCCAGGAAGAGACTCTAGAAAAGAGTTGTTATTCTACTTATAGCAATAGCAGTTAGACTTATATACCGCTTCATAGGGATTTCAGCCCTCTCTAAGCGGTTTACAGAGTCAGCATATTGCCCCCAACAACA